CCCCCCCTCACTCATCCCTCACCTCACAGACAGACAGACACACACACACTCACACACACACTCACACACACACAAACCTCACACAGACACTCACTCACTCACTCACTCAGACTCACACTCACACACTCACTCATACCTCACAGACAGACAGACACTCTCTCACTCACACACTCACTCACACACACACACACACACGCTCACTCACACACACACCTCACACAGACACTCACACACATTCACTCACTCACTCAGACACACACTCACGACACTCACACACATTCACTCACTCACTCAGACTCACACTCACACACTCACTCATACCTCACAGACAGACAGACACTCTCTCACTCACACACTCACTCACACACACACCTCACACAGACACTCACACACACACACTCACTCAGACTCACACTCACCTCACCTCACAGACAGACAGACACTCTCTCACACACACACACCTCACACAGACACTCACACACTCACTCACACACACACTCACTCATACCTCACAGACAGACAGACTCTCTCTCTCTCTCACACACACACACACGCTCACTCACACACCTCACACAGACACTGACTCACTCACTCAGACTCACACTCACTCATACCTCACAGACAGACAGACTCTCTCTCTCTCTCACACACACACACACGCTCACTCACACACCTCACACAGACACTGACTCACTCACTCAGACTCACACTCACTCATACCTCACAGACAGACAGACTCTCTCTCTCTCTCACACACACACACACGCTCACTCACACACCTCACACAGACACTGACTCACTCACTCAGACTCACACTCACTCATACCTCACAGACAGACAGACTCTCTCTCTCTCTCACACACACACACACGCTCACTCACACACCTCACACAGACACTGACTCACTCACTCAGACTCACACTCACTCATACCTCACCTCACAGACAGACAGACAGACACTCTCTCACACACACACACACCTCACAGAGACACTCACACACTCACTCACACACACACTCACTCATACCTCACCTCACAGACAGACACACACTCTCTCTCACACACACACACACGCTCACTCACACACCTCACACAGACTCACACACTCACTCATACCTCACAGACAGACAGACACTCTCTCTCTCTCACACACACACACTCACTCACTCACTCACTCACTCAGACTCACACCTCACAGACAGACACTCTCTCTCACACACACACTCTCTCTCACACACACACACACGCTCACTCACACACACACCTCACACAGACACTCACACACTCACTCACTCACTCAGACTCACACACTCACTCATACCTCACCTCACAGACAGACACACACTCTCTCTCACACACACACACACGCTCACTCACACACCTCACACAGACACTCACACACACTCACTCACTCACTCAGACTCACACACTCACTCATACCTCACCTCACAGACAGACAGACTCTCTCTCTCTCACACACACACACACACACACACTCACTCACACACACTCACTCATACCTCACCTCACACAC